TGTATAACACATGAATGTAAGTATGGAGCTACATGTACACCAACAGGAACATTTCAAAGTTGATTTTTTATCTGCTGATTTCTGGAAAATTCTCATGTGATGAAAGTTTGAAAGATGGAGCACTCATAATTAAAAAAAATTTGTATAAATTTTGAATATAATGTTATGTCTGGGTACTTAGTGATCACAGTACGTGGATACAATGCTTAGATTGTACCCTCTTCTTCGTAAACACGTGTAAATGTGTAAGATTGATAGACTTTCAGTGAACATGGAAAGGCGAGTTTATTGGCATCATATATCAGCGCAATCAGTACGTAAATGCATGTTTTTTATTGGTTAATCACAAGGCCCACTAACATGTTGATGGTTAGATTCCAAGCTGGTTTTGTATTTGGCTTGATTTGTAATTGGATTTAACATACTTGAATCATAATAATCCACTGCAATTCATTCCAGACTTTATTTTGGTAAATACTTTTCAATTTCATCTGCCAACGCCACTTAGTAAGCAACGATCATAGTTTAGTGAGTGTATGCAGTATAATGCCATCAGTGAATTAAATGTTTGATGATGCACCACTTGTAAAAGGAATACTAGTAGTTTTTACGATATTTAGTACATAACACTTGCATGGCTTCCTCCTCCCTTTGTCCGTCGTTTGGTGGCTCAGTTTCACTTTGGGGAGAAGTTGAAAGACCAAGAAAAATTGACTGGAGCGTGACTTTAACTCAGAATTGTTTTCAATTTTACTTGAATATAATTTATTTAAATTTTTTTTTTTCAAAAATGTCCATTTCAGGGCAAATTAACCAAAAACAGTATGTAAGATGTCTACATAGATAGATTTATCCATTTCATACTCAAAATGTTACTAAATCTTGTTTTTATTTAATTTTCAGCCTTGTATCTGTTAGAATGTTTTTTGACATTTGACCCAGTAGACAGAATTACAACTGATGAAGCATTAATGCATCCATATCTGCATATGTACAGCTATTCTTCAGATGAACCAATCACAAACAAGCCATTCCGCATCGAGAATGAAGTTGATGACCTTTCACCTACTACGTTAAAGCAGATCATATTCACCGAAAGTTTCCCAACGAAGCAATATTGTGATAATGCTGAAAATATGGACAACCTTAGCACTTTGGAAGACCTCAGTATTAACGACTTTCCAGACAATAGTGAATCGGATATCAAAGAAGAAGATTTTCTTAACCGAAGTTTTACTGAAGTGGATATGATGAATTATAGTTTTGATAATGAAAAGTTGTTGTCACCTGCTCAGCTGCAAGAGGAGTTCAACAGCAAGATCCAAAATGAAAATATATCATTCGAGAAAAAGTTAGCTCTCGATTGCGAGAGTGAGTGCAGTGAGAAATCTGATGAAGATGTAAAAGATACAGCTTCTGAAGATAACAACAGTCTGAAGGATGAGTTAGAGCTGGAAGAGAAATTAGCGATGGAGGTTGCTGAAAAAGAGAAAATGGTTCTTGAAGAGACGACTGTGGAGAAGAAACATAAATGTAAGCTAAATGTAGCATCTATTGGGAAGTCTTTAGATAATATATCTGTTGAGGAGAACAGCGAAAAAGTGGAGTCAGAAAACTCAGGAAAAGAAGATGAAGAAAATTATGCAGAGATGCCAAACAAAACTATTAGGAAGAAAGAAATAGAGAGAGAGACTAAGAAAGATATGGGAAAATCGGAAGACGTGAATCATGGAGGGAAATCTGTCAAACGAAAAGTCAAAATGAATTGCAATCATAAAAATGGGAAAGAAGAACATGAGAAGGAGAAAACGCTTCAACATTGCTTAGAAATTGACAAGCTGAGGAAAGAGGAGATATATCACTACGTGGACCACAATTGCCTTGATTTGAAGAACAAAAGTCGCATTCGGCATAAATCTACTGAAAATCTAAAACATGGGGAGGAGAAAGGTGTCGGGTATACATCTCCGAAAGTTCAACATAGAATGAATGAAAAGTTGAAACTCGAGCAGGAGAAAAATGTTGCTATGAGGCTGAACTTATTGGGAATGCAGAAAGGAGGTTTGGATGATTTTAAACAACAACTGCATATAGAACTTCCAGTTTTAGAGAGCACTGACTCAAATTCTCCTCGATCACCAAAGACAAACTCGCCAAGGGGAGAAAAAAGTGTTAGACCTAAGAAGTACAACACCAAACCAAAAGGAAAGTAAAATTCAGTAGTGCTACTGAATTGACAACCCATCAATATCAATTATTTTTATTTAACCAAGCAGATTGTTATTTATAGATTAGATATTTATTGGTTTTTTTATTATTTTTTAAAGTCAAACTCAAAAAAGCAAAGCAAGAAAGGAAAACCAAAGTCAATAGAGATGTATTATCTTCGGTAGTAGCATAGACCCTCTTTTTAGAGGGTCTATGGTAGTAGGTACTGCTACGGAATTAATTTGAAGACCTATCAATTTCCAGTATTGTTGTAAACCAACATGTTTTTTATATTTAAGAAGATATTTATTGTTTTTTTTTTATCATTTTTTTAAGACAACATGACTGTAGAAATGGGTCTCCTATGTGTGATGAGTTTACTTACAAAAAAATACATACATTGCCTTACCATGATATGTCAACAAAGTACAATATAATGTGAGAATGTATTATACTTACATTTGCTTCTGAATTTAAGATGGTATTAGATATACAACACCTACATCCTAATATATTACTTGCCATTATTTTGTCGGTGTCACAATATCATTTCTTTTTTTCATCCATAAAACAACAAAATTTCTTGATTGGAATAATTGATAAGAATGTTGGAATTTGGAATGCCAAGATAATAGAAAGTAAAAAAATATATTTTTGAATAATCAAAATTTTACAGAAGTCACATGTAGTGAATACTATATATTAAGGCATTGAAATTAAAAAAAAACACTCATGAAAAGCACTGCATGTCCACTTAAAAAAATCGTTTGTGTTTAGCAATTACACAACTTTTGTCTTTTGTTGTCCCAGTGGGCAAACAGTTTCCATATTAGTTGCCTCAGTGGACTAACAGTTTCCATATTTGTTCAATCCAGTGGGCAAACAGTTTCCATATTTGGTCAATCCAGTGGGCAAACAGTTTCCATATTTTGTTGTCCTGTAACAGAAGTTGTTACTGACAACTCTGCCAACAAGTATTTTGAGTTTTCAGGTTGCTTCCATACCATTTCTGTACTATTCCCCTGTGCATTCAAAGCGTGTTAGGTACAGGTACATCTATTTGAGTCTGAGTAGTAGTTTAGTTTCAAATAAGTAGTTTCTACAATTTCTAGGAAGCATATCTTATATTACTGTATAATACTTAAATAATGTGTTCATGGTCCAAATAAGTCAATGTGTTGCCTTTATAGAAGATGAGCTTTCAAATGAGCAAATACAGGAATCACCACAGCTTTGGCCCCAATGTAATACAAATTTGTGTTACCATGACAACTATTTTTGGTAAAATTTATTGGCATTTTTACATTTTGTTTGAAATAATGTATTTACTTATGGCCTTGAATAGCGAGACCCCATAAATATATACCTTGTAAAGAAGTGTTTAGGAATTGTATTCTTCTATAACATAGTTATTTATAACTTTACAAAGCATTAATTATTTATCAACGTGTGTAATTTGTACAATAAAAAATAATCATGAACAAGTGACTGATTCAGCAGTGATGTTAAAATATTTTTTTTCAGTGAATTGCATTCATAATTTTTTTTCACTGGAATTTGATGAAAAAAAATAAATGTGATGTTGATTCTGATCTGTTGAAGTTTCAGAATTCTATTTTTGTTGTTGTCTTCTCTGTTAACACTGAACTGAGAGACAGCAACACATTGTTCCAACACATAAATGGCAATTTTATGAGAATATTGATTGTATTGCCCAAATATGCAGTAGAGGTCGGTCTTGTATTCCCAGGGTTTTCCTGTACTGTCTGAGTGTATTAAATAACATGCCATATTTATATTATTGTATTTAATTCTGTTCATTTTATGCACTGCAAATTTGAAAGGACGTTTTAGCAATATTGAAAATGGTGAAATGTCAGAAATAATGCTTTAACATTCATAAGCTTTTTAATCCCAAATTTATGTTGAGTTAACAGTATTATTATTTATATGCATGGAGAGAAACATGTCACTGAACCTTTTTTTTGTATTCACAACCGAGGTATTTATGTGCTTACACGTGAAATTTGAAAACTAATTTATTTTGTTATTTTTAGTTGGAGTGCTAGATAATCATTTGACTGTAATTTGAAGTTGAATCACGTTTTTTTTTCCCCCTGTTTTAGAAAAAAAAAAGTTTTTTTTTTTAAGAAAATGCTTTTTTGCATACCGTATTTGTTCTATCAGAAGTGATCTGTTCATTTTGACTGTTGTCTCGGACATGTGCATTCAATAGTTATTTACAATTTTAATTCATTAAAATGCACACACTGTGGAGATGACCACCGTCCTTGTCCAATTACAGCGCAAACTTGGTATACCGATATTTCCATTAAGATAAACTTATTTTTCTGACTTGTGCCTTTATTGGGTACTTCTGATGGAGCAAATATGTTTTCTAGATTTTTGTTCAATGTCTAATTGTAACTGAAACAAAAAACCTAATGAACAAATTCTTTTTATTTTGTTTTCTTCACAAAGAGCATTATTTGACTTGTATTGTATAAATTCTATGTACAATAAAAATCAATTATTAGACAATTTTGGCTACTGTTCTTTACCATGGTTTGGTAAGACCTTGTGATAGAGGTGCTATGGAATAAATTAGACTGTAGACCACAGATGTAAAAACAAAGTATTATAAACTTTAATGAAGTAGTAAAAAAACAAAGATATTCTTGTTTCTGGTTATCATGTGCATGTCAATAATTTTTTCTGTTTTTTTCAATTCAAAATAAAAGCATGTAGACTTTTCAAATAATTCAGGCTAAAAAAATGGAACTCGTCAGTGGAGATATTTAATTTTTTTACCCTATGTTAGCTGCAATCTATCTGAGATAGAGAATGATATCTCCTCATAGTAACTAATAATAGAAATATTTTAAATACTGACAAAATGGCAAGAATTCTCTGATTATAACCACCATTTTCTCAAAAAATATGCTGATGACCCCAAATCCCGATTAACCTGGAGTACATTTTTTTTTATGAGTAGGCTATGTTTTACAGTGAAAGAACCCCTTTCCTCTGAGGCATCTTCAACCATGTAGACATGATCAATTATATTTTTATCGATTGAAGCTGTGATTTTTAAGCTCTGCTGTCATATGAGTGATTGTCTGTCGGCGTCCATCATCATCCGTGTCAACTTTTTACCTTTTCGGCTTCTTGAAAACTACAAACCTTATTGCTTTGATACTTGGTGTACATGTACCTTGGGTAGACATATTAGATTTGTTCATTTCATATTGATATCGTCAATTCTCTAATTTTGATGGATATTTTTGTCATTTTTGGTAAAAAATTATATTTTCAACTTTAACCACGAGTCCTATTGCCAAAAATGTACCATGGCATCACTGTTTTTGCTTTATTGATCGGGAAAACAATAAAACTTGGACTCATATTTTGTATAACCTAAAATAAAATGTTATGTTTAGTAAAAAATTAAATGTAAAACATCATGCCCGCCCGGTACAAGCTTCCTTGACCTAACCACATATTTCATTTTGAGGGTACTTGTGGTTCTTATCTTTTTGACAGACAGACATACTACCTACAGTGTAACAGATCTTCAAAGCCGCCTAACTTAGTGTTTAAATTTAACTTTCAAACATCTTGTATATGTTCTGCTTGTCCAACCTCAAAATCAAAATTTATGGTTTGTACATTGATCAGGGAATGTTGTACATACCCTATGTACCTTGAAGATTTGCAAAGTGTGAATGCAACTTTAAACATTTTTGAGTTTATTTTTAAACTCGGATAACATTATTTCCCTAGGAATTATATCATTATTATAATTATATCAAAAATTATATCATCAGAACACCGTTCCTATAAATCACGCCCTCTAAAGACGGAATGTTTCGTGTATCTTCGTGATGAA